AATTCAAGTGACAGATGATGGTGATTGGTGAGTAATTCAGGTGAAGAGTTTCTTGCAAAGGTAATAAAAAGTGGTGTAGATTGTATATATATCTTGAAAGTAGAAACTGCAGAATTTGCTGGGTGGTGGTAGATTGCCATCTCTATGAAAGAGAGAGCTCAAAAATGTTTACAAGTCTTTTGAGCCTGAAAACCAAAGTGAAAGATTTACTGATGTAGGAAAGATCTATGGGAATAAACAAGTAGAGGGGAGATGGGAAAATCAGAATCTAGATTTGAGGCAACTTTATTTGCAGAAGTCTAATAGACACATCCAAATGGTGACATAGAGTTGGCATTTGATTAAACAAATTCAGGAAAGAGATCTTGCACTTTGATGCTGTTAATTTATAGATGAAAATCTATGAGACTGAATAAAATTCCTCCAAATGTGAAAGTATAAAGAAAAGAAAGAAGACGGAGATCAGTCTTAGGGTAGCCCTAACATATTAAGTCTAAAGGGATGAGGGAAAATGGGAGAAAACAGTCAATAAAGTAGGAGATAAATCAGTAAATGTATTCTTCTGGAAGCTAGGTAAAGAAAGTAAAGAAGTGAGTACCCATGCCAAAAGCTGGCAATTAGATCAAATAAGATGAAGACTGAAAATTGACTATTGGTTTAGCAATATAATAAATATTTCCTCTCACTGGGGAGAAGAAGCAAATGATTAAATCGACAGCCAGACAAGTTGCCTTACTTAGTGCTCCTTACATAACCCTGGCTCCCATCATATTCATGAACTAATCTGGTTTTTTAAATTTTTTATCTTGTTTTATTTTGCTACACTAATCAATTCCTTATGTGTGTGCCTTGTCTGATTTCCACGTTAATATTTTCTTTTTTTAAATATATTTTATTGATTTTTTACAGAGAGGAGGAGAGAGGGATAGAGAGCTAGAAACGTCGATGAGAGAGAAACATCAATCATCTGTCTCCTGCACACCCCCTACCGGGGATGTGCCCGCAACTAATGTACATGCCCCCAACCAGAATTGAACCTGGGACCCTTCAGTCCGCAGACCGACTCTCTACCACTGAGCCAAACCGTTTTGGCCCATTTTAATATTTTCAAGTGACTTTTACAAAAAATTTGTGAGGGATATAAGTAAATTTTATTATCATTATTTTGTAGAACATAGTTTGTAGAGAAAATCAATTCAGCCCAGGACTTCTATTAGAACCTTACTCTGCACCTTTAATTCCCATAAAAAGAGAGGCTTATGCTTCCTATTTTTTTTTTTTAAATTGATTTCAGAGGGGAAGGGAGAAGGAAGGAGCGATAAAAACATCAATGATGAGAGAGAATCCTTGATTGGCTGCCTCCTGCACACCCTCTACTGGGGATGGAGCCAGCAACCTAAGCATGTGCCCTTGACCAGAATCAAACCCAGGACCCTTCAGTCCTGGGCTAACACTCTATCCACTGAGAAAACTGGTGAGGGCTGATGCTTCCTTTCTTGTTTTTTGGACCTTTCTTGATGCATTGCCCAATTCTTTTCATACCTTCTATTTATTCTTACTTAATCCCTTAAATTTTGGTCCCTGGATTTTTTTGAACAGCTGTACACCATGACCTTTAAGGACAAATATCAGTATGAGTTTAGAGCTTCTTGGAATTTAGACTTCTGCCAGGCTCCAAATCCAGAAGCTAGTTTTTATATCCTCTCATCTCCCAGCCTTTCTTACAGGATTTACTTCCTCTTAGCATAGGAAAAAAGCTAGGTAAATGGTCAGCACTGTACCATTAAACATGCATCTACCATTCTCTGTTACAAAGATGAGGATTACAGGGTCCAACATCCAAGTACCCAATAAATCTTGTGATTGTGATCTCATATATTATCACAGTCTATGTCCTCTTTCTTCTTATTCTTGATTCTTTCTAAGAGTTTTGCTTCCTTCCACCCTTATATTCAAATATCAGAAATTCATATACTATTAGCGAGATCATATTGTTATTAACAGCCATCATCCATGTTCAGGTTAATAGCCTAGTGATGGTAACTCACTACCATAAGTTTATGCGCATAAGCATGCACGGTTACAATTATTGGTTTAATCACAAATTTTAAATAATAAAATATAAATTACAAAAATCATGCAGGCAGTGAATTGTATCACTGCCAAATTTCTGGTTGCCATATTGTATATTAATTAGGCAAAACATTTCTATTGGGGGCAATTGGGTCAAGAATACATGATACCTCTGTATTTTTTAAAACTGCATATGAATCTAAAATTACATAAAAATAAAATGTTTTAAAAACTATGCAGGCAGAAAGACATTCATGGGCAAATTTGTTTTATGGAAACCATCAAACTGTTATGATGATGGGAAAGGAATGCACTAGGGAAACTACTGCATTCTTCTTAGGCAGAATCTGCAATGCTAGCCTTTCTGAGGGGAATGAGAAAGTCACAGAGGTAAACAGGTAGACAGCAATCAGGGAAGAGAAAGGTGGTAATAAATACATATAAATTTTAGCACCAAATATAGTAGTGTTTGCAGTATTACTGTGACTATAGACCCACCTTCAATCAGCTGCCACACTCCCAGTCAGCCATCTGCTTTGGGATCTTTTTTTTTTTTTTAAAATAAGAATTATTTAATTTATGTACCTAGCTGGTCACAGTTTCGGCTTTTAAAATTAAATGACAAAATGCAGCCCTTGGTTCCATTCCATTTTTTTTAGTCCCTTCCTTCCCTAGGAATCTGTAAGATCATTGATTTCACCCACGGAAGTGAGGCTTCTGACCCACCGCCTAATAAATAAGTTCACAAGTGAAAAAGCCCATTTTTCATTCTATTTATTACAGTCTTCAGAGACACTCAGAATGAAGGGTGTCTTAGGGACAAATAATACTGTAGGCTTGGTTTACTTATCTTCTATTGGCATTGGCACCAAGCCCTTCCTGTGCTTTGAAATTCATGGCTGTGTCTGTGGCTGCATACTAAACAGACTGAGGCCGCCACAGCCTGCTTAGCATCTAGATGCAGTTCAGCTAATCCATATACCTTAATGGCCAGTTCAGAATGGTAGTTTAGATAACTAATATGGCTGGTTTGTTTCTAGAGCAATATATGTATGCAATCATAAATAAATTAATATATTGTCATATGAATTGGATTCAGTGAACTCTATGGGGCTTGAACTACAACATGCTTGTTCTGAATTCTAGATGACTTGAATTTGCCTATAGACATGTCTGCATAAAATGAGTAAACTGCATATAGAGAATTCATTTAAAATTAAACATACAACAAACTAACAGTGAAAACTAAATTTACCTTCTACCCTTATTTCCTGACTTTCCCTTTTATTTTTCATATACATTTTTATTTATTTCAGATAGGAAGGGAGAGAAAGAGAGAAACATCAATGATGAGAGGGAATCATGCACATCCCCCACTGGGGATTGAACCAGCAACCCAGGTATGTGCCCTGACTGGGAATAGAACCATGACCTCCTGGTTCATAGATCGATGCTTAACCACAGACCCACACCAGCCTGACTCAGACTCTCTTTTACAATTTAATAGTTTCAAACAGAGATAGTCTATGTATATATGAGTATATATGTTTAAGTTTTATATGGTAAAAAAAAGTATAGCTATATTTGTTTATTTATTATGTAAAAGGTAGAACATTGTAGAACACAATGTTCTTCATTTCATTTATTTTAATTAATTACTCATGGGAGCCTTTGCACAACAGCATCTGTGATCTTCCATTACTTTTTTAAACAGCAGCCTAGTATTCTGTCGAGTGGATATAATTATTTTGTATTTAATCAGTCACATTTTGATGGAGACTGGCTGTTTCCAATATGTTGTTATTAGCAACAATGCTTCAGTGAACATCATTGCTTGTAATATTTGTGCCACTTGCAGTAATATCTGTAAGGCACATCCCTGAAAGGAGAATTCTTGGCCAAAGGATATATTCAGTTTTTAGATTAAGAAACATTGTCTAAATGCCTTTCAATGAGGCTATACAGTTTTTTCAACCATGTGTGAGAAGGCTTGCCTCCCACATATATCTCCTCTCACTATATTATCAATTTTTTAAAGTTGCCAATGTGATTGTACTTTTAAGTTATATTGCTCTAATTGTGAATGTGCTAAGGTGTTTGAACATTCTTTCGATCTAACCACTCAGTTGTTCATCATTCCCTAAATAACATCTATTCCACGCTGCTTTGAAATGGCAGTAAAAATAAATCTCTAAGTTTATTATCATTTATTTCTAAGCTATTCTTGTATAATAATCTTATTGTTTATATGCAACAGTACCAATTTTTATACATTTCTCTACTATTATAATATCTTAATATACAGTAGTTTATGCCTCTTCATTGTTCTTTTTCAAAATTTCCCTAAGTACTTTGGCAAACATTTTTGTTGGCAGCTGTGTTGGAGTTGTTTTATTAAAATAAGCATTGAAATATGACCTGTTTAAAAAATAAGGTGTGATCATTATGAGGTGTGATCATTTAAGCCCAAGGTTCGGTAAGATCTGGGACTAAAAACGATGTGTAGGAAAAGAAGAGCAAAGAGCCCAACCAAGGGGAGAAAGCTGAGTAAATGTTCCAAGTAGAAAAAACGTTTTCCATAAAACCCAGAAATACCCTGGAATAAAACATGCACTTGAATATCGTAAGTTCTTTAAGCAGCCAGCCAGTGTTGCAGATCAGCCTGTGTAACCCTGGCTTTTAAGGGCTTGACAAACAGTACCAAGGTTCTGACCTTAACCTGAAATTCCTTGAGCTCTCAGTACCTGTGACCACACACCCAACATTCCTACCCCCAGCATGCACTTTGCCAGTCACAAGGAGCCATCATTAAAGAGTGCTCTGGTAGGAAGCATAATTTATAGAGAAGCTAGCGAGTTCTGAGGAAGAGGGGATTTGTTTAACACGGACAGCAAACCACTATCTTTGAGCAGCTTGTCCTTTTAAGCATGTCGAGATCCAGTCCTTTTAGTTTCACTTCAGTGATCTCCAAAACGGGAACCTGGTGTTTGCCACTATTTCAGGTAACATCTCTCTTTCTGGGAAAAGATTTTCAGAGGTACTCTAAGGACCAGATTGGTTATTGACTTGTTATTTGGGGAAACTTAACTCATACATTTCAAAGATTTCCTTTAAGAAATTGTGACCAGAATTGTATTACTACTTATATTTATCTGTCAAATCTACAGAAAACAAAACGACCCATGCTATTAGTCTTATTTCTACTTTAATTTTATTGCTATTGAACTAAGAGGATGCAACGTAATCTTTGCTATGCTGTAAAAAAAAATTTTTTTAGAATATTGCAGCAAATTTTTAGAATTGATGTAGCAAAATGCTATGATAGGGTTAATTTAAGACATATTTGTTTACTCTTGCCTAAACCACACTTGATGCTTGGGAGTTTCAATGTAGACAGAACTGTGGCAGTTTACTTTGTTTCTTCTACTCTAGCATCTCACTGCAGAAATACCTGCGTCTCTGCAAATGTGTTACTTGAATGCAAAGTATCTGAAAGATTTAGTTCTGAAATATATTAAGACTTTGCTCCCATTTCCTGACAATCTGAAGTCTGACAGCTAATGCCTTGGCTGAGAGCTGGTACTTATATGATACTGTGTGCTCATTCCTTGCTAGGGAAGAGCACACCAAAAGATTAGAAAATGACTTCCAAGTGAAATGCTGGCTTTACTTGTTTATCTGTTCAACTGGATCCCAAATGATTTCATCTAGTCATACATAAACTCTCTTTATGGGACAAAATTTGAATGTTCATTTTCTTCTCAGTTAGTATCCAAATCTATTTTCAGCATTCTAGCAAAAGAGAGTACAAGTCATGTTCTGTGCTCATAAATTGTTCATTACCACGCTCTCTGATGGCCAATTCATGTCTCCATCTACGACTCCACAAATCTCTTTGCCTGGATAAACATGGTGGAGTAAATATAAGGTGCTAACAAAGATGCAATTGAGATCTAAGAAGAAGAAAAACAAGGCATCTCCTGCAAAATTCCTATGTGTATCATTTAAAATTTCTGTAAATACTTACTTGGTTTTATATTTCTGAGTTATAGACCAGGAAGTCATACTTCACTAACCTCATCAACCTATATTTAGGACTATTTATAAAGGACATTTAAAGATGTTTCTATTGTACACAGAAGGAGTCTCAAGTCAAGGGAAAAACAAACAAAACCTTAAAAAAGGAGCACTTTATGCCAAAACCGGTTTGGATCAGGGGATAGAGTGTTGGCCTGTGGTCTGAAAAGTCCCGGGTTTGATTCCTGTCAAGGCCATGTATCTTGGTTGCCAGTACATCCCCAGTAGAAGGTGTGTAGGAGGCAGCTGATCAATGTTTCTTTCTCATCGATATTTCTAACTCTCTATTCCTCTCTCTTCCTTTCTGTAAAAAAGCAATAAAATATATTTTAAAAAACAGAAGTGTCAGAGATGTAAGAAAATTAGTAAAATGTATATGAAAATCTCCCTCCTGTCAGAGTCTGGGGCACACCACGGGACCCAGAGTCAAGTCCTTCCCCACCACTTGCACGTGCTTTGGAAACACAGGAGACCCAGACCCAGCTGGCCCTACCCACATTGGATGAGCCCAGAGCTGGCTGGCCCCACCATCATCAAGCCCTGCTGGGCAAGGGGTACGGCCTGAGGTCTCTTGCCCTGGCCAGGTACCAGGCAGCCTCAGGTCCCTGCTGTTCTGGTAGTGATGTTACCTGTCCCGGCTAATTTACATATTCCTCTGTTTATAAAGATAGATACCCAGTAATGCTAATGGCATGGACTTCTGATTTATGTAGAGAACTTGATTTCTGTGTGTGAAAATAATAAAATAATTAACCTCCTCTGACTAGCTAAAATATGAAAACAAAGGAAAAAAAGCAATGTGCATAAAAGCTAAGAGCAAGCAACATCTGCCTATAGAAAAAAAAAACGATTTTTTCATCCATCTATAATTATGTGTAAGATAGAAATCTGGTTTACAATACATATCTCCTGTCACTGCTGAGCTGGAAAATCTACCCAGAGATTGTTGGTTTGTTTTTTCAATTAAAATTCTGTTTGCCTGACAATAGGCTCTGCTGTGAGCATTACTTACAAAAACAAAATTATAAAAACCCACATTGTCTCAAGGTGCTGTTGTATTAAAGGATTAGACTGATGAGATGTTTGGATTTTATTTGTTTTAAACATGTGTTTCAGTTGGTGCTCTCGGACTCACCATGTGAAGAAAATGAAATGTAAGTAAATAACAAGAGACATTTTCAAAATTCAAAGAATAAAAAAGGGCTCAAGTTTTAAGAAACCCCAATGAGTTTCAATGACCATTATAACCATGCAAGAAACAGAAAGGTAAATTGTTTTAAATGCAAATGGCTTGATTTTTCTAAAAGCAGGGAAAAGGTGCACTTCTATTATGGTCAGCTTTGTTAAATAAATAAGGGGCCTAGTTGATGTCTAGGTATTTTTGCTCACAGCATTCTCTACCTCTGAGGTTTCAAGGGTACTTTACATTCATGAAAGACTTATTACATCCTATATGGCTGCATCCATACCCATAAATCACATTGGTGATGGGGGGTAGCTTTCTGGATAAATAAGTTTCAAATATAAGCAGACTAATGAAATTTCTAACCTGTATTATGTGTAGCTTTCAAAGTGCAGATATACAGTTGTGGGTGCTAAAAATCTATAATAACAAAAGCATAATATGCTAATTAGACCAGAAGGCCAAATAGCAGAATGACCATTCAGACAACCTTCTGGATGACCTTCAGGATGAAGCCAGGGCTGTGAGGGCCGAGCCCCTTACACAAATTCCATGCATCAGGCCTCTAGTATATATAATATTTTCCTCCCACCTTCTAATTTTTCTGAAAGGGATAACAATTAAACTAATAGAGACAGATTGATAGAAGAAAATCAGAATTTCAATACACATCCATTGGGAATTCACATAAGCATGAAAATTCCAAATATAATTGGGCAAAATTGGGTGTAAATGTCATTTTTGTAATGGACAAAGAAGAGTACTGAATCTTAGATTGCAAAAGTGAGACTGGGCCATTTTTGCATAACTGAGGAATAGTAGAACATACAAGGCAGGTAAATATTAGCTGGAAAACTCATAAACAATGGGACTTAGGATATCTAGCTAAGTGGACTTTGACTAAAGCCCTCTTATTTATCTACTTAATTTAAATTAAACTAAGGTTAACATCCTAAGATCCCCTTTCTTGTGTAGGTCTTCCCATCTGAATCTTTTAGAAAGGGAAAATGTTAGATTATTTCTGAATCTTTTGTTTTCTAAAAAATAGCTTAAAATAAATATCCCAAAGGCAAAAGTTAGGTTCCCTTCATAGTCATGTGTCACTTAATGACTGGGATACATTCTGAGTTCTTAAATTTATCAAAGTATTCAGTTTGTAGTTCATTTTAAGTCCATAGATTATCAGCAGTGAGAACAGTAATAAAGATCAGTTCTCACTTTTGCCAGATTTTTTTCTTTTTGGCATCATTATTTTATTTCACCTAACATATACAAATCTCTAATGAATAACTTTATCTTAAAAAATGTAATTTTTACTATACTGAAAATCTTACAACTAAAATTTGAGTAATTGAAATATTGTCACAGTTCAGGTATTTTTTAAATAACACAAAAAATTTCTGTTTAAAAATTAAACTTGAGAAAGACGTGGAAATCATGATGTAAGGAAGTACACGAAGTCCAAAGACCCATATTATATTATAATTTAAGTTTTTGGGCAGCTAGTGGCCTCCCCAATTCTTTTCTACTCTGGGTCTCAGTGGTAAAATGTGTGAAATTCTAAGGGGGGAAAAAATTACTCCAAAGTTTCCTGTAGTTCCTAAATTACATGATCACTTTGCATTTATTCAGCAAACTGCTTCTAGACCATTTTTTTTATATATCAGAAAATCCATCAGTAGGTTCACAGATTCAGACAGAGAAAGTGAAATAAGTCAGTTTGCAAAACTGTTAGCACTGGAAAAAATATTGAGTGACTAAAAAAATTAAACCTAGGAAATAAAATGTGATAGTTAAATTTAGAATCTATAATAATGAAAGTCTAATATGCAAATCGACCGAATGGCCAAACAGTGGAACAATATCCGAAGACCACTCTATAACACCCATGGTGCCATTCCAGCCAAGGCAGCTGCGATGTGATTGATGGGAGCCTGGCTATCGCCCCATGATCACCTTGTAGAGGGAGGCCCAGGCCATTGGCTAACGGAGTGATTGATCAATTGGGGAGCTCCACAATCATCCCAAAGAGGGTGGCCCACACCACCAACCAGCAGGCTGTGGTGGGTGGTGCCTCTCTGTGGGGGAGATCTATCAAGGATCCCTGGCTGAGTGGGCAGGGCCTACCTCTTTGGGCTGTTCAATCACAGGGCTCCTGGACTGTGAGAGGGCACAGTTGGGCTGAGGGCCCCCTTCTTTCCCTCCAGTGCACAAATTTCATGCACCAGACCTCTAGTTGACAGTATAAGTGTATAGTTTATTTTTAAATCTAACAAAAGAGCCAGAAATTTATATATGGAGGGAAATTAAGCAATCCACATTCCTGATCATGAGCTTAGATTTCAAGACTCAAAAATGAGAACTTTATGTTACTTTTTTTTTGCTAAATTGCCAAGAAAAGTTTCCTACATTCATCTCTAAAGTAGGATACTACATTTTAAAATTTCATATATTTCATTGTAATATTTAAAATTTGTATGACTACAAAAGTGATATATATACATTATAAAAATGTAACCAATATAAAAATATTGAAAAGATAAAGTGCCTCATGACACCATCTTCAAGAGAAGCAAACATTGTTAGTAATTTGATGTATGTGTATATATAACTATATAATATTTATTTGTGAAATCATTATATTTGTATTAAAAAATGTATACAAAGTAGAAATGAGTGCTCTTTATTATTTTATTTATCAAGGCTTTTAACTATAAATATAAATCTAAATTTTTGATGAATATATAATATTTCTTTGAAAGAAAATATCATTAATTATTTTTTAAATCTTCTATTGATGATAACTTGTCTTAGGATGCTTTTTTTAAAGTTATACTTCAGCTGACATTTATCCCAGCCATCTGTACTTGTGTATTTGGCTAAATTTTCTAGGTGCAAAAGAACAAACACCCCAAAAACTTATTCTCTGGGTGACTGGGTTTTGCCTTAAATATTTGGGGTAAAAATTTTAAGTTGACACTCACATATGTTAAAAAGTCATTTCTGAAGAGTAATGTGATAAACAGGACACACATTCTCCTTAGGGAGGCTATGAACAATAAATTAGCTGACATTTATGAAAGCTTTCAAGCTGAAAAATGCCGAGTGTTATTTTAACAAAGGCTGAAGAAAACGTGATTAAGTGCAGCACCATCTCAGAAGCTTATCGGGCTGTGATGAACAGCCTTCAACTATTTAATTCCAGAATACTGTAACAGCAGCCCATCTACCGAGGTTGAAAAATGTCCATCAGCAAACATACATTCAAAGCACTATGTGTGGCATAGCAAGGGACTCTGGAATGAACAGCATGTGTCTAAACCTGGGGAGTTATATGTTCTAAAAATCACACTGTGAACCAGTGTGATCTTTTTTTGTGTGATCTTTTAAAACTTATCTTAAGAACAATTAAGTTGTCCTGAAGCACATAAATGGTTTAACTATCCTAACAAATCAACTTCTAACTCTTTAGTAAATGGTGTGTATGGCCACACTCATCCATTTTCCTTTTATCCTAATTTATTTTTTTTAACCAGGATTGCAGGGCTGCTATTCCTTACCAAGACATCCAAGGTTAATAGGCATTATGACCTTCCATGGATAATTTGCATTTTAAAGAACTCCAGGTCTTTGAATAAACAGAATGGTGAAGTGGTTATACCTACCATTCCGTCTACCATATGGTAGTCCTGAAAAGTTAGTCACTCTTTTCTCAATGTACTACAGTATTTTTAACTCTGGCATCAAACCTACTATTATGCAATTACCTGTTTTTAAGTATCTGATAGTTTGCATTTACATGTATCCTCAGTGCCTTGAATGATATGAACATATGGGAAACATTTACCAATTGTGTTAGGGGGCTTACAGTGAATAAATTATTGTTGGAGAAATAGGTATAGTCAGAACAAATATTGTGGTGCAAAAGAATAGGTTTTTGTCCAACATTAATTGTTCTTTCTTTGTTACCAGGTACTTAAACTATAAAAACCAATACTCAAATGATTGGTATATCTGGTAAGGACATCTTCACTTCTATATATATATAAAAGCCTAAGCGACCATTATGATTGAATGACCAGAATAACCAGAATGACTGGTCAACCAGTTGCTATGATGTACACTGACCACCAGGGGGCAGACACTCAATGCAGGAGCTACCCCCTGGTGGTTAGTGTGCTCCCACAGCCAACCTCCCATGGCCCCTACCCTGGGCCAACTTGCACCCCTGGCAGGACAGCCAACCTCCCAGGGTTCCTTCCTTTGGCTGACCAGCTCCCTGATAGATCTTGGTCACCAGGCAAGCCAAGAGACCCTACCCATGCAGAAAATCATAAAGCAGACATCTAGTTGTTTTATAAAAATCTTTGATGGTATATACATACTCCTTTTACTAAATAACTGATATGGCACATGAAATGATACATATTAAGAAAACAATAGGGGTCATGTGAATCAATATATGTAGAAACATTACTTTCAGGTTGTTGTTCATGTTTACTTAAGTGTTTTCTATAAGAGGGAACTTACTCTTTCTAAGAATAATAATAATTTACTCCCTGGTTGAAAATCTTTAAAGGTAAAATTATTCTTCCTTCTATTGATATTTTCTGAAATGTCTTTCACTGATTTTAGTTCTGGTCTCAAAAGTCATCCAAAATAAGTCTGCTGCCTCTTTTATGAGCTAGACTTTTGGAAATTTTGCAAGTTATTATACCCTCCTAAACGTTGAGTTTAGTGTTTTCCAAATTAAACATTACCAACTTTCTCATTTAGATAGCTCCTCAAAAAACAGAGATCATGTCTTATCTTCTCCACTTTTTCTTACTGATTTCAGAGAGGAAGGGAAAGGGAGAGAGAGATAGAAATATCAATGATGATAAAGAATCATTGATTGGCTGCCTTCGACAAGCCCCCCAACTGGGAATAGAGCCCACAACCCAGGCATGTGCCCAGACTGGGAATCTGAACTGTGACCTTCTGGTTCATAGGTCAACACTCACTTAGCTAAGGTGTGGGGAGGGGTTGCTTAAGGAATCCAGCTTCTCACACTGCTTGCAGCCAGTTTTGCTGAGTTCTTGTCCCCTTTTCAGAGAGTAATAGGACTCTTAAGTTTCCTGCGTGTTCCACCTCAATCCTCTTCTGATTCTTCTGGCACCAGGTTCTTGCTCCTCATTTTCCTGGTGGTTCTGCTCTGCGGAGCAGTGCTCTTCTGCCTTCCCTGCTGGCTGAGGAGATGCGGCATTGGTTCCTCAAGACGCACCGTGGCTGTTTTTGCTGTCGGCGACTTGGACCCTGTTTATGGTAGGTTCTCTCACATTGATGGGCTTGCTCTTTGAAACCTTATGGTTTTGTGGTGAATTAGAAATCTAAACTCTGAAAATCAAATTTGTGAACTTACAACAAGACTGTTTATAGAAGACTGAAAGGCATGCATTGGGGAGAGAGTCTAAGTGAGAAAATTTCAGAAGAAAGGAGACCCCAATAGAAAAAAACACACACAAAAACACGTGTCTTAGGAAAATAATTTATAGTTGAGTATGGGGATAGAACCTAACTATTTTGCTCAGTTGACATGAGTAAAAGAGGAGCTATACAAGGTTGGTCACTTCAAGTACGTGTAGGATTTAAGGTACAGAGTATTTCTGAGTTTTTTCGTGTCAGTTGGAAAAACTGAAGTTCATAAGTCTAATTTACTAAACTCTCTAAGCCTCACTTACCTACAGTAACATTGAACCATATTTTTCAGATTGTTGCCAATGCAGATCTTGAAAATATGGAATTGGCAGTGTAGTATAAATACTCATATTTTTTTATCCCAGACACATTGGCAGCATCCTGATCCTGCCTTGTCTCACCCTTGCCCCTCAAACCACACCTTTCCTATTATTTTCCAGTTTTCAGTAGGAGGTAAGGAATGGAGGAGATTTAGGTTGTACAGTCATTGTTAATTCCAGGCCTTGTCCTCATTCACAACATTTGTTCTGAGATTTTCCCTCTAAGTCACTGCACTATACACCACAATTGCCTCGAGTGCTTAGTAGAGATTGACAATTGCACTTCAGAAACTTGGGCCAGATAAGATTTCCCATAGAGAGTGTCAGGCATGTCCTGGAAAAACTAAAAGCTAAATAAAAGTTAGGATATAAATAAACTACAATGTTTAATATCAAATTTGATATTCAGTGATTGTACTCACTATTTAGTGATTATATTCACTATTGACTTTTTTAAAAAGTAATTATTTACCAAGGGAAACTGTCAATTTGAGAAATGGGTGTTTGGGAAATAATTAAAATCTCCAATGAAAATAGTTATTTCTCCTAAATTTAAAACTACTGTCCTCTGAACACAGAAGAAAATAGGGTCACTGACCTTTTAACAAACTACATGAATGAAAGGGGTCAACATGATTACTTTGATCTTATTTCCTTTATTTAACTGGAGCTAGTCAACAACAACAAAAAAAAATGCAGTTTTTCTTTCCAATTTACTTGAGTTTCTAAAGAGAATTCCCTCTGGTCCTCTTAATCCTACTGTTACTTTAAGGAAGAGTTTTCTAGACTTCCTGGATCTTAGAATATATATATATACTTAAGTTTGAGTAAATAACTCATTTGTACTATTATAATTTTAAGGCAATCTATGTGCCATGGTTATACCCCAATTTATCTAATATTTTCATGTTTCCTGAATGGTGATTCATATGTATGCTTTTGAATTTACCTGAACTTGTCTGAGCAGGTATGACTGAGAGAAGAGATCAAGGCTGATATGCTTCTTCAGAAATCTGAATATAATAGCACTGAGTGCAGGGCATTAGTATCACATTCTCTATATTATCCTGAAGTCATTATGGACAGGAAATAAAATATTTTATTTTATTTGTGGGGAAATAGTGGGTTTTTTAAAAAAAATAACATAGTCCCAATTTAATCCACATCTGCCAAGTGTTAGGCATTAGGTCAAGGACTTCTCAGACATTATCTCTAGTTTTTAAAACCAGCTTGGGAAAAATTTTATTACTTCTCTTAGAGGATGTTATCTTCTTTCCTCACCCTATTGAATAAATGCACCACATAGATCTTTGCTGTAAGTCAACTAATAGATTTTATGTTGTCAGAGTTAAGGTTAGGAAGTTAAACAAAATATGGGCAGTCACTCATGGTTTATCCACCTACATAAAGTACAGCCTATATCTTGAACCTCCAGATATTTCTATATTGCAATTTTTTAATGATAGAGATTGCTCTCAGGAGTCCTCATTCTCTTCCCTATTCTCTCCATTCCTCATTAATTCCACTCGTATAGCTCTGCATCTTACTTTGATCAAGGAACAATTAAATTCTCCTCAGCTTACACTGTATTACAAAGTTCAGTTTCATTGATTTCCATCATAGGAGACCACAGGTTCAGTTGCCCCTCTCTCTTAATTATTTCCTTCACCTACACTGGGTTGGGTGTTAGGCTATCCAGTCCATCTCCCATCTCCCATCCTGTCCCCTGGATGCTCAGCAGGGCTGTACAGGCCATGAGCAGTCATTTCCTTAGCCTTTGATGTGGATAGGATTCCTAGAGTTGTGCTTCTTGGTCTTTCGGTTCTCCTTTCTAAAACAAAACATAAAAGAGTAATTTAGGAAGTGGTATTCTCTGTGATCTCTAGTCATTTCTTCTTATGTAGCAATTTTCGGAAGTAAATTCCAGGGAGTCAAAATTTTAAGGTAGTCTGAAACCCAGACTCACACTGGATTTCCTTTCCCCACTGTATCCTCACTGTGCTTTCACTTCTCCAAACAAAAGGTTCTTCCTACCTAGTATTTCCACAGAAGGAGCTGTTTTCCAAAAGGGAAGTGAGGGAACCGCTACCAGGATCTTTGCGTGGTTAAAGAGGGAGGGAAGGTCCCAAACCACAGCCTCTGCGTCCACAACCCACACAGGCTATCTGCTCGCAGCCTGGTGCTGAGTGTGGTCACTGTAGGTTTTATGTGCTCACTTTGTAGAGTTTGGGGTGCACTTCTGAGTCTTCCTCATAGCCTCTGTTCAGAATTGGGGTGAAATGAGAAGTCATTGGAGGACTCTAGTGACTGGTTAGAATATAAAATAAGAGTGTCTGCACTTCCTGTCACCCCTGAAGCACAAAAGGAATGATAGAATGTTCCCTCTGAATACAGAACGTGGGTCATTTAAAACATCTTAATGGAGAGACTAGATTTGCTATATTAACCTTGCATTCCTCCTAGACCTTTATTTTATTTTCCAGAACTCATTTCATGTTATTAGCACTATTTGCTGAATATATTAGTTGAAAGAGCTCTGCTCTTCTGACCTGTGATTGAGAGGTTTGACTCTCAGGATCCCATGGAAGTTGCCTCAATAAAATAGAGCAAAGAGGATAATTTTGACTGATTATTAGAGGCTGGAGTGGACTGAACTTTACTGATTTAAGTACATAAAATAGGAATGTTCTCTCACTAGCAGTTCCTGACAATATTACATGGTTCAGGTTGCCAATTATCTTGATTAAAAATATTAAAGAGAGAAAGGAAAATACTTGGTTTGGAAGCCTCATCAAAGGTGTTTGAGGAAGGTCTTACAGCCTAGCCCATCTGAATGTCTGATGAGGTTTTTGTCTGGGAAATGTCTTCGGAAATCTCAGCAAACACCCTGTCCCCAGTAGCTTCTCTTGGGCCAATAATCATATATTTTCACAGTTCTTTGCAGATCCGGTGCTCAGATCTTTCAGGTTTTTTTCCCTCTCATAGGCTCCATGTTTCCAATTCTGTAATATGTAATAACTAAGCTCTTTATGCCCCAATAAGAGAAAATTAATCTGTCTGATACCCAAGGGTAAGAAGAAAACGGAGGCATTGTTAGAGAAAGAAGGGGAAGAGAAAGACCACAAGGAAGAGGAGAAGAGAAAGATAAAAATTAAGAGGGAAAGGAACCTACAGTTTGAAACTGAAGATATTTTAAGGACTGACATTAAAACCTACTTATTTTATGTAATCCCTAAAATCATGTTATTTTGCTCTGCTTTCATGCCCAACTCTTCTTCCTGCAGTGGCCCCAGGATCTTCTAGATAGATTCTTTCCCCCTATTATCCTTCCTCCATCCCCATCTCCTCTGATCCTGTTTTCTATCCCCACTCTTTTATAATCTCAGAAAGGACCCATTCACTGCCCTTATATCTTCTTGAATGGGATAATCCATGCAGTCATCTCTGAGTCCTTCTTGCTCTCCTTTTTCAACCAGCAGAGACTAACATTTCAAGTATAATTCAGGTTTGTGGTTTTAGCACCTGTGTAAGCAGTAAGAATAATGTAGTGTTTCACTGTTGTTTTTAATCTTATTATTTTACTATGTTAATGAAGCTTTTAATATAGAATCCCTTCTTTCTGATAATTCAACAGAATTCACAGATTTACAACCTGTTGTTTCCCCACACCCCTCCTCAAATGTGTAAATTGAGAGTGAGAATACATATTGGGCCACAGAAATTGATTTTTTTAAAGGAATGTATCAATTATTTAGTAAAGGTGGAGATACAAGAAGAGAAAGTTAAAATTCTCACACACCCCTTTGAATCATTTGTGATCAATAGTCCCCACTTTGTAATACCTTGGACTATATAACAAGGAGAATAGGTAGATATACACCAAAGTGGAAAAAAAAGAAAACAAAAATGTTTGGTTTTTTTTAAATTAGTTGTTTTGTTTATTTATTAAATTGATGTTTCAAAAATAAGTAATGACAAAGGAGTCATTAAAAGGCGTTTTGAAGTTTATTATAAACAAGTGTTTTTATAATTCACTGAAAATGTGAATAATAATATGTTTCCAATTTAAATAAGCTTATGAAGCTGCATAAAAACCCTTATTTATAAAGAAATGCTGCCACTGGCTGGGTATATGAGTGTGTGGGTGGAGGTGCCCTCCAATGTTTGTGGAGTTCTGGGGGCACAGCTGAAATAAGTATTTTTAGAGGCCCTCATGAGACGATAAGAGGTGGAAGAAGATTTTAGTCATGTAGGTACATCCCTTGGTTTGCAATGTCCCATTTCCCTCAAGCCAGTCCTGAAAGAGAGGTAGCTGGAGGTTTAGCAGAACCAGAAGGAGGCCAGTGCTCTGATTTTCTGTTCCATGTTGCAGCCAGGTATGGATCAGCATTCAGGCCTGATTAAATTTAGTTCATGTGGAAAGCCCAACATGCATGGCTAGGCAGCGCCCTATGGGCACAAGGTAGCATAACTCCTTCCTCCTTCTCCCCTCCCCCTCTAGCATGAGTCCCTAAAGGAGAGGCATGC